TATATATATATATATATATATATAGATATATATATAACACTTCTAATACATTTAATACTGTATTTTTACGTGATATTGTAATATCACTTTATGAAGTAAACAATTTGTAGTTTTTATAAATTATTGAAATAGAAAATATATTACGTAACGTAAAACATACTTTGGAAAAATAGTATTTTTGATAAATAAAAAAAATATTTTTTTTCTGAAAAGATATTAATTCTATTAGGATCAATAATTAATCAGTAAAAATCATTTTTCAAATCGGTGTATTTCAATAATTTGAAAATAACAAAAAAAACAAAACAATTTTAACTAAACATACACATATATATATAAAAATGATTAGTTTTATAATAAAATAGATTCCGATTAGTTTCTGGACTTTTCCCACTAGAGATTATGACAATTTTGTTATTAATATTCTAGTTGCGTTTCTTGTTTTGTCAATAAAATAATCTCAATTAAAAAGTACGACCACGAATGACACGTGTACAATCCATTTTGCATATTACCAATACACGGAACCACGAATAATAATAATAATAATAATAATCATAATAATAACAACTTCGTTCATAAAAATAAAAAAGTATTGAACTTTTTTCATTATCGCGGAAGTCACGTTGAGTTACGATACGTTTATTAACTCGTTGTTATCTTTATTAAGATAGTGATGTACCATGCTTCAAATTATTATTTGTAAAATGTTAATTATGTAGGTTTGTGTGTATACATATATAATATGTCATATAACGATTAATTACAAATTAAATAGTCATAAATCTAATTAATATCTTGAAAAAGATGAGATAAATAAAAAAAAAAAAACTTATCTGTATTCAGAGAAAAATCATTGCTTTTCTAATATATTTTGTTATTTGCATAATTCTTAACACGTTTTAAATTATTTAAAGTCAAATTTCAAATATTTAGTTATCAACAAAATTTGTATTTTTTATTTAATATATGATAAAAATTAAAAAAAATTAAACATCAATCTATCCAAATTTTATGAATAATGAAATTTATTAAAAATAGTATAATCATTTTTCTAATGATTTCACGTGTGATAACCATAATAATTTTTAAATTATCGATCCAATGCAATAAATTTGAATATTATTATTTTAGATTGTAAACGGTACTATTTAAAAAAAAAAAAAAAAAAAAGAAAAAAAATATAGGTTAGAAATAATTTGTCATATAATTATATTATGCGATTATTTTTGTTACGTTTCTGTTTTCCCACCAAGCACGCGTTTGAACGTTTATAGTTGTTTACGAGCCGATATTTTCGTGAGAAATTTCTCAATATGTGGAAGAACAAAATTTCTTTGGACGTTCAAAGGGTAATAACACAATCGAATTAAATGAATTTCGAGTAATATCATTTTAACAAATAACTTCACGTTCGTGTATCTCATCGATTTTTCGATACTCATGATCGTTTCCTGTTCATGAAATGACCATTACTTCGTTGGTTGGTTCAAAAGTAAGAATTGGAATCGATCGATGGAAGAAACGCAAAAGGGAATTCTTTCTTTTCTTGGCTGAGTTTTACATCCGCGAAACTATTTGAGGATTTGAAAGTATCTGTACCTTATATTTCTTTCTCTCTCTTTTTACCTCTTTCTTTCTCTATTTTATACTTTGAACTTGTAGAGAATCTCTATCGAAGTCTGGAAAAATTCCTGCAGATACGAGAAGAAAAAAGAAAGATAATAAGAGAAAGAGAGAGAGAGAGAGAGAGAGAGAGAGAGAAAAGGAAAAAAAATACTGTTTTAATAATAAATCACATTTCCATTCTAAACCTGGTAAGAGAGATGAGGTAGAAAATTCTTTTTCATAAAAATGAAAAGAATAGATACCGTTGTTCCTTAACTCGGTATAATTTTATAATTCATGAACGTTTATAGAAACTTTAACGACGAAATATAATTTAACCGGTTAATCGTTAATACCTTTGATTGATAATTTATTTAAAAATTACAAGATATTTTTGTTTGATTTTTACAAAATAATTCATCTATATCATCTATTGGCTTTTTATGATCGTCTCGTTTTACTTCGAAAAATTTGTGAATAAGATGCAGATGAAATACAGTGGGGGGAGGGGGATATTAGAAATGATTTTAGAATTTATGAAAGTTTATATAAATTATACTGACAAAATATTAGGTTGATTAATTATTAATGTTTGTTATTTGTAATTTATTAAAAATGCGAAGAATTTGTCTGTTTTTTTTTTGTTTAATTAAAATTGATTGATTTTTATTTACTGACTTTAATAATCGGTTTATTTTACTTCTAAAGATTTTTGGATAAGATGCAAATAGAATACAATGGGAATGAATATAATCATAGTTGAGTATATTGGAGTGTCCTTGAAATAGTTACCATGAGATTCACTCTAGCTTGTTCTTCGAATAGGATTCAATGTTAAACATTTCAAGGATATAAGGGATACTTTATGTATGATGGTAATTATAACACTGGACTTATATAATTAGTCAGAAAATTGAAAACATTGATCTTATGATTTATTATCTAATACGAATTAATTGTAATATAAAGTATTATGATGATAGAAAAATTAGAGGAGTGATTTTTATGAAACAAATTAGAAAAATTGATTTTATGATTTATTTTATAATACAATTATTTATATTATTTTATTGACTTTCATCAGTCCACTGTTATAATTTCCAGTACATACATTTTTGTAATTTTTCAGCTTCATCGTACGTGTACTTTTTTTCTTGCTTCTTCATTTTTTTGTATAGATATAAATATTTATGCGTTAACACACGTGTGTGTATAAATTTGATGAATACTTTTAAGTATAGGTATTACACGTTTTGAAGAGAAATTGATTATTTTATAATTTGTAAAGGTTAAACTTTGTTTTAAGTTTTTGCACATATAATTTTATAAAACATGATTTACATAATCTATTATTTTTCCAACTAGTTTATTTTGAATAAAAATTTGAAATTAAATAATTTCCATACTTCAGATACATTTACAAATTTTGTATTCCTAAAGTGTGTGTTCCCATTGACCTAAATAAATTGTAATCCCAAGGTACAATATTTAACGAATATGCAAGGTATGATGAAACCTTTTAATCAAGCCTTAAAATTTTCTTCACGAGTCATTCTCTTCAAATGAAACCTTGAACAGTGTCACGATGAAAAATGTTTATTTAAAAAAAAAAAATTAAACTTTCTATATATAATAATTGATAATTTATAATAAAAATATTTTTATTATAAAAATTGAGATCAAACAAAGTGCATATAAGCAAACAATAAATCAAAACAAATTTAATTTCTAATAATATTAAAAATTGAGATCACAAAGTGCATATAAGACTCAAACAATAAATTAAAACAAATTTAACTTTTAATAATAATGTATCATTTTTATTATAAAAATTGAGATCACAAAGTGCATATAAGATTCAAACAATAAATGAAAAAAACTGATAAATAAAATAATGGATTTATTATACTACGATATATTATCATACATTGTATATCCGATGCAAATATATGCAAACGTATGTAAATAAATCTAAGAAAAATCAGAAAATGAAGTAAAACCTTCGAAAGTCTCCGGTTTCGTGATATTTCCCTTGTCAGACCCGACGTCGTACGTGGTGCCTCGATAAAAAAGTTTACGAGCGCAGTTAGAAGTTGGCACGACGACAGTAATTTCATAGCTTTTAGTGCTTTTTAGGCTTGTTCTCGAGTATGGAATTATTGTCGTTGGGCCAAAGCGACCTCGTGGAATTCCGTACGGTTCCATTGCCAAAAGTTTTCTGTCACGTAGACGTCGTCCCTTTTTCCCTTTTATTTCTTTCTTTTCTTTTCTTTTATTCTTTTTTTTTTTTTTCTTTAGTTTTCTTTTCTTGCTTCCTTTCTTCTTATCCACCTCGTTCGAAAATTTTCTTCCACCTTCTGTTTCGTTCTGTACGTTCGTTCTTTCGAAGAAGGGCGAAATGGATTTAGGTTACTTTACGTATTTCTTCCAATTTCTTGGCTTAACAAATAACGAGAAAAAAGAAAAAGAAAAAGAAAAAGAGAAAGAGAGTAATGCTTGAAAGTTCGTGGTTTGGATTTAGATTCGTAATTTTTTAAAATCCTTAACATTTTCTTTAATCGTGAAATTTTTTTCAGATTTCACTAAGGAGTTTTGTATTCCTTAACGGATTCATCTTTGTCTTATTGACAGGAAGAACAGGTAAATCTTTTAGATCAATTAACATATCATATTTCAAATCAAATAGAATATATGATTAAATATTCTATTTGATATATTAGAAATAAAAATATTCAATAGAATAGAATGAAGAGAACATGTTCATTTCGAATATTTAATAGAATCTTATTAATACTATTACATTGTTCATTGATTAATAAAAAAGGTTCTTACTTTTATTTCAATTCTCACTTATATTATCTAGAAGAAAAAAAAATTTAATTAACACGCTTTCGTAGAATCGTTCGAAATCGAAAATCTTATCTTCATAAAAAAAATATTTTTTATTTTTTTTATTTCAATTGGCACACTTGTTTTTTTTTTTTATTATTTGAAAAAATTTAATTCACACACTTTCGTAGAGAATTTTTCGAATCGAAAATTTTATCATCTCATCTCATTTCCCTATAGCACGTTCAACTCGAGCATCACTCTAAATCGTAGAACTTGAAGAAGATATTGAATTAGGAATGAAAATAAAAGATAAGAAGTAAAAAACTAAAAAAAAAATAAAAAAATTTTCACTCGATAGGATCGATAAAGCATTACGTTCTTATCCAGCATTACTATGAAAAGTCATAAATCAAAATGAATATGACCGTATTAACCGTACTTTATCTCGATCATTTTTAATAAATAAATATTTTCAAAATTGTTCTATACTCTTGGTAAGAACTCTGAGAAGACCGTATTAACCGTACTTTATCTCGATCATTTTTAATAAATAAATATTTTCAAAATTGTTCCATACTCTTGGTAAGAACTCTGAGAACAACTATAATAATTAAATCACAATTCCGAGAGTTCATTACCACATACAACGGTGACAAATGTATCAACAAAAAAGGTAACGGTGTTCTATTACGCAAAAGTAACACCTTGTTAAAGTGGTCATTTAAAAGTCCCAACTCTTAAATACATAAAACGAATTGTGGTTAACTTTTTAATAAAATTATCCTCAGAACAAATTGCAAAGTGCATTTTAGTTGAACCCACGACGAACGACCGTCCGTCCAGTTTGTCTAACTTTTTCATGTATATTCGAAAACGTAGAGAAGATAAATCGTGTTACGAAAGGTTAAATCGTTAAATTAGCAATTAGAAAACATAATAGTCGAATAATATCAATTATTATAAAAAAAATTTAATATAAGTATACAGATACTAATAATTATCGTTTAAGTGTCGAAAAATTGAACAGACAAATTTTTTTTCTCATTTATTTTATATTACAATTATAATATTATAATATAAAATAATAATAAAATTATATAATAATATTACATATATTTAGAAAAGGGTCCCATAAGTTTTTCCCTTTTTTCTTATGTGAAATAAATATACGATAATTATTGTGGTTGATTTATTGTGTAGAATTATTCATAGTGTCGCACGTAAGAAACTTATGGGTCATCCTAATATAATATTTATATTATTATGTAATATAAATACCCTAATATAATATTTTATATTATTAAAGAGGTAATTAATAATATAAAACGTCCGATTAATTCTGATTACTTTCAATTCAAAATTGTATATTTCATACTGAATGATTTAATACATACTAAACAATAAGTTTAATTGCAATTTTTCTTTCAATGTTTTGATTCAACCCATTACCATAAATATACATATTGGATAGAATTAAAAACACATTGAATGCTATTGGAATTATTCGTGATTGGCATTTAGTTTGTTCGTTGCGCTGCGTGGGTCATCGGTGATCCCCCAATAATAACAGGCTTTAATTAATCTAATATTTTAATATAGTATAATATTTTATAATATTTTAATATAATATATATTTAATAATAATATATATAATAAATTAAATATATATACTTTATTATTTATATATTTATAAACGTGTAATAACAAATTTGTGTTTATGTCACAGGCATGTTTTACATTAAAAATTATCAAAAAGTTGATAGATATTATTATATTTACATTAATAGTGAGCTATGTCCTCGATAAGGATAACTTGGACAGGGTGGTATTTAGGACTCAGGATGATTCGAACTTTCCAAAAAGGCCTTTCCAACTTGAGGAGACTTACACTGCCGATTATCTACCACGTAACTTCAACGGTACTTGGACATCAGATACCACGTTAATTTATATATCCGAAACTGTAGGAGAAATTCTTCAATTTGACGTTGTCAAGCAACAATCTACTGTGATCATCGATGTATCAATTTTTGTAAGAAATACTTTCTTTTTTTATTAATATTATTATATTGACCCTTATCGGTTATTCAGGTTTTTATATCCATGATTTTCATTATAATAAGTTATAAGTTAATTTTGGTAAATATGCAACTAAATTGTTCAGTATTATAAGAATAATTTATTATGTATGAGATATATTATTTATCTTTTTTCTTGGAGGAATACTACAAATATATGAAATTATTAATCAATTGCTAATAACATATTTTTATTTGTAAGTCACTTCTCATGTGACTTACGACCGATAAGGGTTAACATTAGAATTATTAAAACTAATGAAAATATTTAGTTAAAGTAAATTGAGTCTTTTTAGTAATTTTTTATCAGTTAAAAATCTTTTTTTTTAATATAAATATTTCATGTCATGAGAGTAAAGAAATGTAATTCGAAAAATTTATTTTATAATATTTATTACAAAAAATTGTAATATAAAATTAACGATGAAATGTATTTTTTTTTTTTCTTTAATATTTTGACTTATACTAATTCATTGTTATAATTATTGGCATATATAATATTTTATTTATTCTTAATTAATAATTAATCAAAATTCAAGAATAGCTAGGATGCTATATGTCTTAGTTTCCAAATATATAGTAAATAATACGGTAAGTTATATTATGAGATGTATATTTTCGTTGTCGTCATAGCAAGTAGTAATAATATATGTATTGAAAATGATGGTAGTAAAAAATGCCTATAAAATATAATATTATGTAACCACTATAATTAATTTTAGATAAAAATTATATTGTGTGGTCAGAATAATAATGATATTAATAGAAATGAAAAAAATGTGGACGGCTAACGTAACATAAAAAATTTTATTTTTCTCATATTTTATCAAACACCAAATATTTTGATTGGTCTAATAGAAATAAATGTACAAGGATTATCGGTAGTTCTAATGTTTAATATCACTGCACGATTTGAACAGTTTATCAATAGAGTACATATTTTTAGATAAGCTTAACAAATATTAGTTACGATTTATCACTCGTATATTTTAAATATAGATAGAGTTTCCATTTTTCGATATTGAATTATTACTGTATTTTCGCAATTGCGTAAACTGTTCTTAAAAAAAAAAAAAAAAGAATACAAATATTAATATAACTCTTATCACTGTAACAAAGTAATAATTTGTTCTTAAATGGATATTGAATATTTTTTGTTCAAGGACGATTATTTAGTAGAAAGTTACTTATTATCACCGACCGGACGATTTCTTCTTATCGGATACGATCTTCAAAAAGTAAGCATCAACATTTCTTTATCTTTTTCATTTAATATTGGTTTAGGATAAAAGTTTCTTCGTATTTTATTGCAAAACTTAAAACAAAAGTTTTGTTCATATTTTCTCTATCATGTCTCCTCTCTTCAAATGGTTTTAAAATTGTTTTCTGCTTTATATTTAGTTCCTTTTAGATCTATAAATTGTCAAAGTGCCGATCTTGCTTCAATTTTTTCATGATTTCATCAATATTTCCAGTGATTGATCAACCGAAGTCAGATGCATCTTTGACATCAATTTTTTTTCAGATCGAAAACGTTTGAATCAGAATTGTGTCATTCTTGCTGATACCGCATCATGTTCAAAAACATTACAAATATTTTTAACACAATTTTCGTTGTATTTTTACCTTTTTTGTTATACAATTTCCAAAATATATCGAATTTCTTATTTATTTTTTTTTTCATTTTCAAGACTCAATAAATTTAGATCGAATAAACAAATGTTACAACTTTTTTCTTGATTATTATAGCCAAAGTTATGCTATTTGAAATTCATTAATATTGAAAATACGAAGAAACTTTTTCCTTAAATCTAATTAATTACAAATAGATTTAATTAGAAGTTTTCTAGAATTTTTATATTTTAGGGATTCAGATATTCGACCTTCATGAGATATGTTATTTATGATACTGAACTTGGGTATGTAAAATATTACCATTACCTGTTCTTTTTTTTTTATTATAATTATTAAAGATGATAATCTTCTCGAATATCAAAAAGCTTATCTCAAAGAGGAAAAATAGATAATTTTATTAGAAAATAAAATATGAGTTTTTTCTATATATAATACGATATCATTTAGAAAGAAAATAATATAAAAATATATAATATATATACTGTTATATAGTAATTTATATATATTTTATATATTTATAATTATATATATATAAACATATATTCTTATATATTTATTCTTTTTTTTTATTTATTTTTATATATATATATATATATATATATTATATAGTACAAACATAATACAACATAATATAATATAATAACATAAATATACAATATAATAAATTAATATATTATAATATAATATATGTATAAGTATTAAAATTATTATTAATATAATATTAAATATGTATATAAATTTTATTGTTTGCAGTATAGAAAGTAAATTATATTAGTTAGTTTTTTATTTTATCAGATATTTTCTAAATCAAATACAGATAAAAATACTTTATCAACAGATCAAATAATTACTATTAATACTTGAACTTATCTATCGATATTGAAATTATTTTAAACACAAAGATTTACTTCCATTTTCTATTTAACAAGTTCATTCATACTAATTGATTTATTTTATTATTTTTATTTTATTTTTATTTTTTAGACAATATGATAAAATTGGCAATGGAATGCATATCGCTCTTGTCAGATGGGCACCACTAACAGACGATTTGATATATATCCTCGACAATAATATTTATTATAAACGTTTCTCTAAAAACGGTTTTAATGATGTACAAAGAGTGACGGACGATGGCATTGCCGGGATCATTTATAATGGTGTGGCTGATTGGGTTTACGAAGGTAACAGTGATTAATGTATTATTCATTAAACCAAAACATCACTATCCTCAATTATAAATTATTCAACGAGTGCATTGCTCATTATTATACCTAAACGTTTATGCATAAACGAAAATATTTCACGTGTTTTACTTTATTTTTAAATTTATTATTTTTAGAATATCAATCGATAGATTATAATTAAAAAAAAATCTCGTTTACAATTTTTCTGTCAGGAAAATCTTAAATTTTTTTCTTTTCTTTGAAAGCATTTTTAATCAATCTGTTTTCATTTTTGTTCTATATAATATTAGAAATAATTTTAATAAATATTAAAGGTATGTATAAATATATTTATATATTATTGTTACTTAATGATATTAAGAAAATATTGTTACACGGAACATCTGCTATTTAAAGTTAAATTAATTTTAAAATTAACCAAAGTTCGATTATAATTTTTTTTTATTTGAAAATTATTTATTTTGTTCGTTTGTTTGAGAATATCTTTAATCCTTTTGGTTAAAAATATTTTTTATTATTATCCTATTTTTTATATTTTAGTGATAAATATTACTACGTATAAATATATTTATATATTTTTGTTCGTTAACAATAATAATAAATTATTGTTACAGAAAAAGTATTACATAGAACACCTGCTATTTAAAGTTAAATTAATTTTTTAGATTCAGAAAATACATTTACAATTTTTTCATCCGCAAAAATAATTATTTTCTTATTTTTTTGAAAATATTTTTAATCAATCTATTTTCATTTTTATTCTCTCTCTCTCTCTCTCTCTCTCTCTCTCTCTCTCTCT